TGGAAACTTCATTCATTGTTTGTGGAAATGTAAAATGGTGCACCTACTTTGGAAAATAACTTAGCAGCAGTTTCATCAATTCCACTTAGCAATTCCACCCATATACAGCCAAAAGAATGAAAACCTATGTCTATGCAAGAAGTTGTACACAAATGTTCACAACAGCACTATTCATCACAACTAAAAAGTAGAAATAATCAACCCAATGCCCATCAACCGATAAATGGATAAACAAAATGCGGTATATTCATATAATATTATTTAGCAGTAAAAAGGAATGAAGTACTGATATATGGTACAACACGAATGAAGCTTGAAGACATTATGCTATGTGAAAGAAGCCAGTTCCAAAGGACCACAGATGGCACAGAGATGAACAAAGAGGTGAATGGAACCTTACTTACCCTTATCAGGCTGAGAATTTGGTGGAGAAATCTGATCATATTCACTCAGTTTTTCAGCATGAACTTTCAAAGAGTGAGACTATACAATAACTGGTGAGCTAAAAACCATGATTCAGAAACTAAAAATCAATTTTTGTCCAATTCTCCACTCTCATTCATCTGAAACCAAACACAATCTTGTTACAAAGATTAAATAATTCAAAGTTTATAATTACATCAACATAGACCAATCATCTGAAAATTCACAAAATTTATCTTCATTTTATTAATTTGCTTCTTATAAATCTGAAAATAAAGCCTAACTTTTAAAAATGTTTAAACATACTTTATTTTTATAACAATATTTTTATATAGTTTTATTTTTAATTGACAAGTAATAATTGTATATATTTATATATATGATAGTTCAGTACCTATATATAATGTGGAATAATCAAATTTGGTGAATTAGCATAGCCATTACTGCAAATGTTTATCATTTCTTTGCAATGTGAACACTTAATCTCTTACAGCTACTTTAAAAAATATTAAAATAATAAATACATTTTGAATATACATGAACTATAGTCACCTTCTTGTGCAACAGAACACCAGAACTTATTCTCCTATCTAACTGTAACTTTGTACCCCTTGACAAGTGTCTTTCCTTTCTCTGTCCCCTCCCTCACCCTACCACCCAGCCTCTGGTAACCACCATTCTACTCTCTACTTCCCTAAGTTTTTAGATTCCACGTACAAGTGAGATCATACGGTATTTGTCTCTCTGTGCTTGTAAAGCCCTAATTTTTTGAGCATTTTTTTATACCCTGGAAAAATAAATAACATTTGTTTATTTAAGAAGAAATTACTCCAAATTTATTCTACCCTAGGTATATACCCCAAAGAACTATAAATTGAAAAATAGCACTTAAGAGTTTTAATATATTTGGTCTGAACTAAAAGTTTACGAATAGAGTTTCGCTTACTTTCAAATCAAAGTATGAGCTTCCGTAGATAATCCTATGATTAGAATTATTTCTAACATAAAGTTTTATGTTTCTGTTTGTGACAGAGACTACCAGTTGTCTCCCAATATATTTTTTACTTCTTCCTTAGTAACAAACCTTAGGAAATGTGTCTAGCTAAAAGACTACATGTTCTGGCCATTGTTAAAGCAACATGTAGTCATGTGAATAAATTCTGGTCAATAAGAAGAAAGCTGAAGTGCTGTGTAGGATTCTAGGAGGGATCCTCCCTTCTGCTGCTGAAATGAGGATGCCATGGTTAGAAATGAAACAGTCATCAAAGAACGTGAGGAAGTAAGTCAGGGCCTTAGAATAAAAAGACAGAAAATGTCTAGGTCCTCTCTGATGATCATGGAACTATCCTAACAGCCTTGTACTGCCTAACTCCACACTTTTAAATGAGGCAAGGAGTAAACTGTTATGGGTTCAAGCCATAACAGAAAATAATCTCTGAATATATTTAAAGCCAACCATGTAAGAGTAACTAAAATGTAAATGTAGGGAAAAGGACACTAACATTTTCAGAACACAATTATGAGTGATGTGTATTTTCTGTATTTTTCTACATTGAATATTACTTTATAATCCTTTGAAAGTTATTTTTAAAATTTCAATGAAACACAAGTTATCACAGAGCCCTTTGACTATTTCTTAGACCTCTGGGCTCTGAAGACTGAGCCTAAAATATACTAGACTAGAATATAGTAGATTAAGAATTAGGGCAAGACAGAGATTGCCACTTCCATTTTTCAGGTTGAAGAAACATACTTAGAGAGGTCAAAGTTATTTGCTCAGCAATTAATGGTGGAGTCAAGGTTTGAATCCAAGTTCTCCCAATCCAAGGTTAAGACATGACTGTAATTATGGTACTTTAATCTCAACCACCACATATGAAATAAAATGCAGTTTCTGACATGATTATCAATGGGGAAAACTAGATGAGTTCTCTAAAAAAGCACAGCAGGCCTATGTTTCATTTCAGTAAATGTATCTACTACTTTTGGTATCCCAGATACCACAGATTAAAGAGATCTAGGAAAAATAAATAACATTTGTTTATTTAAGAAAGAAAAGAAAGAAAAAGAAAGAAAGAAAGAAAGAAAGAAAGAAAGAAAGAAAGAAAGAAAGAAAGAAAGAAAGAAAGAAAGAAAAGAAAGAAAGAAAGAAAGAAAGA